CTGCATGCCCCCTCAGCTGTCCCCACACACTGCATGCCTCCCAACTCTCCCCACACTGCATGCCTCCCAGCTGTCCCCACACACTGCATGCCCCCCCTCAGCTGGCCCCACACACTGTATGCTCCCCCTGAGCTGTCCCCACACACTGCATGCCTCCCAACTGTCCCCACACTGCATGCCTCCTCAGCTGTCCCCACACACTGCATGCCCCCCCCAGCTGTCCCCACACAATGCAAGACCCACAGCTGGCCCCACACACTGCATGCCTCCCAACTGTCCCAACACTGCATGCCTCCCAGCTGTCCCCACACACTGCATGCCCCCTCAGCTGTCCCTACACAATGCAAGACCCACAGCTGGCCCCACACACCGTATGCTCCCCCTGAGCTGTCCCCACACACTGCATGCCCCCTCCGCTGTCCCCACACAATGCAACTGGCCCTGACTCCTCACTATCACCCTCTGGTCTTCAGCTGAGTAGGACGACAGGGCCTAGAGTGGGGAAGAGAATCAGGCTTGCAGGGGCCTCTTAGATAGAGCTCCAGTTTGAGGCCTCAGCTACAAACCCTCCTTCCAAACCCACACGGCAGCAGTTCCTGACTCTCCTGAGCCTTATCTATTTGTTTTGGGTTTTGTTTCATTGTCTTGTGCCGGCGATGGCACCTAGGGCCTCAGTACACTTGCCAAGTGTCCTACCTATCACTGAGTGACTTCGCTGGCCACCATTTCTGTAAGCCTGACTTACATTTCTTTGTTTAGTTATGTGAAAAATGAATTACCAATTGTCTATCTGGCCCCCACTTTTAAAACTCTGTTTTCACGGCTTGTTCTCCCGGGTCCTTGCCGTTGTGGACTTACTAATACCACTGCGTTGCAGCGTCACAAGGAGGCGGAAGCGGACGTGGGTCAGTCCACTGTGTCTACTTAGCAGCCCCCGGACCCTGGGGAAGAGCTCAAGCGCACTCTCTGCTCCTCAGTCACTCCTCTGACACACCTTGATCTGCTCCCGTGTGTGCTGGACGCTCTTATTTTCCTAGGCCACATCAGTGAAAATGTTGCTGTCCTCGTGGAGTCTGTATTTCACCCGCAAATGATTTTGGTGCTATCTGCAACTGAATTGGTAAATCTGAAATCCCTCAGATTTATTAATTGAAAAACAATACATGGAAGGTCAAAATAAAAGCATCTGTTTATGCTTCAGTCTAAAAAAACTGAGTAAATTCTGCTAGTTAAGACTTATTACGATTATAATTATAGGAATAAACTAATTTTTTATTCTTAACAATATATGACTACAGGAAGATAACTATACTTATAACTACATTTAAATCACAGTAGAAAATGCTTTCTAGTGTGAGAAGGTAGGTCTCAGTGGTAAGATTTGCTACTGAAGAGTGAGGTGACAGTGTGAGAGCAGAGCCACATAACAGCCGGCCACTCCTGAGAAGGACGCCCATGAGTACAGGCGGAGTTCGCGCTCGCCCGGAGGAAGCGCTGCACGCTGCGCGGCCGCCCCACAAGCCTGCCACTTGCGTCTGGCTGTGCTGCGCCTCAGGGCTGGCAGACATCAGGCTGCAGACCAGCGCTGGTCCATAACAAGATTTCCACTAGTCTGTGGCAAAAAAAATGTCAATGTAAGGTCACCAAATGACTCTTCTAGAGACCGTCCTTTATTCTGAGATTATATCCTTAATATATTTTTGATGTTCTCTTTTATAAAACGACAGTGATGATAAGATAGTATTTTAATGTCCTTATCAAAATAAGAAGTTGACAATCCCGGCTTTTTTTATTTTTGTAATTTTAGTACAGAGTCTACAGGGTCCCACTACATAGATCGGCCTCATAGTGGTCCTCCTGTATTGAGCCTCCCAAGAGCTGGGATTATAGGCGCTCACCACCAGCTCCAGTCCCAATCGCTGTCTCAGGGTGCCCGAGGCGGGCGGTGGGCAGGGCCGGCAAGGCATGTGGGGACCCAACCCTGGCTGCTGTGTCTGCCTAAGCAGGCACTTGAATCCGCTGAGCTATTTGGCTGGCCCAACAATCCCATTTTTGACGATTGCTTAAAATAGTACTATATGAAATGTAGCTTCGCTCTATACTATCAAAGGGCCAGTAATAACTGATAATTAGAGAGAAAGGCATTGGATGTACCTAAGATATCTGAAGTCATAGTTAGAAAGAACCTAGGACCATATTTATAACCACTGTGAAAGAAAAACATCACTATGTATTTACGGGTATATTAGTCTCTATAAAATTCAATATAGAAGCATGCGCATAGAGAAAATTTAAAAGTGGTAGTTTTAAAATTTTTAAAAATCTTTTATTTATGTATTTGTTAAAGGGTCTCACTATGCAGCCTGGACTCGTGGTGATCCTCCTGTCTCAGCCTCTCCAGCACTGGGATTATAGGTGTGTGCCACCATGTCTGGGAAAAGTTGTAGTTTTAATATGTTGATTTAACCAAATGGACAGTTCTCACATACCCAGGAAAAATATATTAATGGTACAGTGGGTAGACATAGTGCTGGGTTAGAACAGGACAAAAATCTAATGCTGGCTTTCTACTAATTATCAGGCCTTGGACAACACTGCTTACATTTTCTAGGTCTCTATTTCATCATGAAATGGCTGGATTAGCTAATCTCTAATATACTGTTCACCTTAAAATATCTATGTTTCAACTCCTTTATGTGGCTTAGCAGATGCTTGTCATGTCAGCTACTAATAAAGAATTTAGAAACATTATGTGTTTCTTTGGAGAAGGTTCTAAAAAAATTCTCTCTGTGTCTGTCTCTGTCTGATACATCTTTTTTCTCGGTACCAGGAATTGAAAGGACCTTGTGCTTGCCAGGCAAGTGCTTATTCTACTGAGCTATCTCTCCAGCACCTCCTGATACGTCTTTGTATTTCCTGTGTATTGCTATGGTTCTCTGCACAGGGGGAAATCCATAGAGCAACGAAACAGATGTCCAGCCAACCTGCAGCAACATCGGAAAATGAGACCAGGTAGGGCCCAGGGCATCAGAGTGTAGAATGGCCAGCATCCAAGAACCAAGACAAGGAGACAGCACACAGAGCGGAGGCTGCAGGCCTCCCACACCCGCTCCAGGCCCCAACAGACAACTTGTATGAGCAGATTGAAGATAAACACTAAGGAGGCTGACACGGTCCCTATGGATGCCCATGTACTAGTGAGCTTGGTGCCAGCAGCCCCTCTATGGGGCAGGGGGTGTAGCCTTTATGGGAAATGGCCGGCTCTGCCTTGTGCACTTTGTACCAAGGCCCTCCCAGGGAGCTGGGGAGACAGCTCAGCAGTCGAAGCACCTGCCTGGTAAGTGCAAGGGCCAGGGTTTAATTCCCAGTGCCACACATTGTGCCAGCTCTGGAACCTCGGATCCCCAGAAACCTGGGCACTGTGCAGGACACCGAAACTGGGTGTGGTGGTGCATTCCTGTAATCTCAGTGCTAGGGAGGCTGAGACAGGAGGATCACTATGAGTATGAGCTGTATGGCAAGACCCTGTACAACATACACAAATAAATAAGTCAATAAATAAATAAGTTTAAAAATAGAAATGTCTTTAAAAAAAAAAAAAGAACCTCTCAGGCAGAAATGTCTTCCACTGTCCACTCTACTGCACATGCCCCGTGTCCTTCTGGGTGGGCCATCCCAGACGCTGGCCCCGTGGCACCCACGGCAGTTCCGACCCCTCCTCTAGTCTCTTGTGTTCCTTCATGTGGAGCCCAAAGCCTCCGAGGTTCAGTCTTACACACTTCCAGGGCAGCCTGGTGCTGGAACGAGCATGAGGTACTCGAGCCTTACTCCTCAATGCTCCTCCTTGACACCTCTAGGCCAGAATGTCACCACCTAGCTGTTCTTACAAACCTCCAGCCCTAAAGAAACATGCCCTCCTCCAGGTGAATGCCCACCCCTGCTCTACTGGCATCAGCAGAGCGACCCTCTCCATGTGCCAGCACCTCCTGCACCCACCCGAGCGGTGGGCGCCCCCCTCCCCGTGCCTTGTCTTACTGGGGCTGTCCTGCAGACTCAGCTTCATCCCCTCTCCAGCTTCCCTTTCTTAACCCCACACTCCCCAAATGTTGGTGGCCGTCCCCTCCCTTGTCACTTTCTGTGTACTGGTAAGAGGACACAGGGCCGCTGCGGTAACAATGGCAGGCAGTCGTGCTACACCCCCGTGAAGACAGAGCTGCCCCCAAACTTCTAAGCGCCAGCAGGCTGCCCTTTAAAACGCAGCTGACATTTCACCTTCTACGTTTAGGTTTAGATCTTGATGACAATCTGAAGACAAAGAAAAATCCTCATTCACCTGTCATAAAAGGAAGTCAGGTAGTTGATTAAATTTAATATTTAACTATTTACTTAAGTGTTAAGAAAAACATGTTCTTGCAAGACCCTGTAGCAAATAAATAGATTTTTTAAAAGTTCATTACTTAAGAAACAGACACTAAAATTTGGTGAAAGAAGCCATTACCTTACCCCTAAGTTCAAAATGAACTTAATAAAACCAGATGGATGAATGCACCTTCACAGAGGATGCTCATTAGACAGAAATGTAATAGAACAATATATATGAAACCTGATTGTTTTCTTTTAGTGCTTTCAATTCTGCTTCCATCTCAGTATTAGCTTGAATTTGTTGTTGAAGTAACTGCTGCATACGTTGAAAAGAAATGATGATATCCTTTAAAATACATAAACGTAACGTGTCAATTTTAACATGCTAATATAGTAGGATGTTTCTAAACTCATCCTTCATACATGTTTTCTAGTTTCTTAACCCATTATCTTATAGTTTAATTTTAATTCTTTATATTAAAGTAATGCACATTTTGTGGCTTAATATCTAAAAAAATCCCTGCTACACAATTTTCCATAAATACTACTCCCAACAGTCACTTAATATTAACTTCTTTTATTCTAAGATTCAAAGACATTATTGAAAAACATGAAAAAAATCAACACTAAAGTAAACTTTTGTTGGCTTGCCACCCACCAGCTTCTAAATATGACTACTAAAATGCTATGTGGGCTATGGTATAAAATATTAGAACAATGTCATGAAATAAATAGAGGAAATGCACAAGAGAAAAAACAGTTCTCTCTCACACATTGAAGGTATCACAATTATAAGCATCAAACAGATTAAATTAAAAAATGTTATCCTAAAAAAAGCACACCCAATGTATAAATATGCTTCAGCAGTTATCTTTTAGGGTATCCCTGGTGTGAACAAAGAAAAAAACTTTCACTTTTAAAAAATGAAAATATGTAAGTAGCCAGTTAAAAAAGACACCTATGTCCATCCAGTGTCCATTATTCACTGTACACCACACACTGACCTGGGAGGGCATAATTCCATTTGTTGTTTATTTTACTTATTTTCCACACTCTAGCTGATCTTTAAATATATTTACTAGTTTCTGAAGGGTCTCATGATTGCTTACCTGTTTCTCTTCTTGAATATGGACAATCTCTTCATTAATCTTCTTATTTAATTCCAATTCCTTAAAAATTTAAATAATTTCAAATTTGTCACATAAAATCTACTAACTTCTATAATTTGGTGCTCAATTTGAGTGCCGTGACTTCTTATTACTTCTCCGAGTACCTGCGTTTATTTATGGTTGTAATAGTGGCTACAGTGAACTGAAGAAGGTATAGGGCCTAACAGGATTAAAACTATGAATTTTCCACTGCTGATGGCAAAAATTAACTGACTGCTAAAAACAGATTCATACTACCTTAGCTTTTTACTATATATAGTAAGTATTTAGTAATATGCATTACTATGTATATTAACTACATATGCTATGTATATTAACTCTATATCATAATAGCATATATTAGCTATGCAAATAATATATATTTACTGTAACATTAAGTTAATATTTTTATTGTATACATTAAGTTTATTAATCTCCAAAGAAGGAACATTATGTATTATAACCTTGAAATTCCTTTAAATGTTTTAAAAATACTAATTTTATGAAGTTTAATTTATTTAAATAAATACCAGGTTGAGTCTTTCTTGAAGTTCTTCAAATTTTTGTTCTTTAATTGTTAGATTGATATTTTCTTCTCTCATTTTGTATTCACACGTGACCTTGGACTTTATCAAGTCTGAAGCTGCTATTTTTAGTTCCTTAACGTGAGAAACATAAACACAAGATTCACTGTAAATATTTCATAAAAGGAAGGGACTGTGATGACAGTTTCAAAGCCCATCTGTTTATTTTGTTTTGTGTTCAGGAGACCGGGTCTTGCTATGTGGTTCAGGCTGGCCCTGAAATCACCTTGCAGCCCAGGCTGGCTTTGACTTTACAGTGAACCTCTTGCCTTAGCTTCCCAAGTGCTAGGATTACAGGCATGTGCCACAATACCTGGCTCAAAGTCCTTCTTTAAACACACACACACACACACACACACACGTGTGTGTGTGCACATGCCTGCCCATGTGCACACAAGGCCGATCACATGTAGGTAGAATACATGGCCTTGGGACTTAAGAGTATACTAGCTACTAAAACAACAAACAAGAAATAGAATGTTTTCATTTAGTACTTATTCAGTAAACATCGGCTATAAAAAGATAATAAGGCATTCAAAATTCCCAAGCTCATTAGCATCTAATAATAAAAATATTACATATCTACAATATAATGTGATGAGTACTGTATCATAGGAATGTATAAGTGTAAGGAAAGAAGAGAGTTTGGTTGCAGATATTAAGACTACCTTACATGAAAATATGGTGTTTGAACTGAGCCTTTAAAGTTTACAAAGAGGACAAACAAAGGAACAGACATTCCAGGCAAAATATTCTACATGCATAAAGGCATAGAAACATGAATGTATAGTATTTTTCAGGGAAACAGAAATAATATATGGGGCTGGCAAGATAGCTCAGGAGCACAAAAAAAAAACCACAAAAGAAATTATAAGACTAGAGCTAACATGTTTTTACATGGAGAGGAAGAAAATATTCGTGTCTGTGCCTAGAAATATCTGGCAGGATTCAAATATTGAAAGGCATATGGTTATTGTGGTTGCTGGACAGTTTAAACATGGACCGGCTTGGGGCTGTGCCCTGGGGTGTGGGCAGCACTTGGGCTTCCCAGGTCATGGTCGTGGCCTTGGGCTTTTGTCTGGTGCCTCACCCCTCCCTCCCTGGCCCTGTTCCCTTCATCTGCTCTCCATTTGCCACGAGCTAAGCAGTTTCCTTCCACCATGAGGTTCTTGCCATGGAGTGAGTCAAACTGGACTAAACATTCTGAAACTGAGAGATAAGTAAGTTTTGGGTGTTGGGTATTGTATCCCAGTGACAAAAAACTAGTGCAGAAAATTGGTAACTGAGAAGTGAGGTCACTGTCATGACTACCTGACCAATTGATTTAGAAGCCTTTGGAAGTAATTTGCTTGAGGAGTTTGGAAGGATTTGGAGCTGCAAACTAGAGAAGCCAGAAAATGCTGTAAGTAGAGCCTGATGAGGGTTCTGGCTAGACCTCATAAAACCAGAATGCTTACAGGAAGGCAGACAATAAAAGTCAGGCTTGGTAGGCTTCAGATGAGAACAGGAACTCCACCGCACTTGGACTAGCAGCCACGTATGTGACACTGGCAGAAAATTCATCTGCATTTTGTCCTGAGTCTGTACAGGAAAGCTGATATTCAAGACAGTGGGTTACTGTGGCCCCTCACTTATTACAGAGGTTATGTTCCAGACACCCCCACAACAAGTGAACATTAGTGCAGTAGTGCCGTCATATCTGTTTAGGGTTTACATATATTTTAAGGCGTTATAAACCCTTCCCACACTCTTATAAACCTTTCCCATACGTTTAAAAACACTTTTGCTGTTCTTAACCATTTTTTTAATTTGTAAACCTACATAATTTTAATGTATGGTACTGCAAATTCTGCAATTTAGAGAAAAATCTGTAATTATTAGTATGTTTTTGAAAATCTGTGAAACACTGAGTCCACAAAAAGTTGAACAGCAAAATAGCAAGGGACTACTGTAATTACAAAGTTCTTGAGATTTCTTTTGCCATTAATTTCTAATTTAATTGCACTATGGTCTTATAATATGCATGGGGTAATTTCAATTCATTGGTATTTACTTCAGCATGTTCTATGAGCTACTACGTGGTCTATTTTGGAGAATATGTGGTGTGCAGCTAAAGAATGTGTATTCTGATGTTGTGGGGTGGAACACTGTAGACATCTACTAAGTCCATTTGTTCAAAAGTTTGGTTCAGTCCTAATATTTCATTGTTGATTTTTTGGGTCTAGTTTATGTCTTTTTGAGAGTGATGTGTTGAGATCCCCCAGTACAGCTGTATTATTTATTTTTATGCCCATTAGTATTTGTTTTATATAGTTGGGTACACTGGTATCTGGGGCACATGTTATTTTCCTTTTGGCTGTTTCCCTTCACAAGGATGTAGTAAACTTCTTTGTCTCTCTTAATCATTCCTGGCTTCAAATTTAGTTTGTCTGCAAATAGAATAGCTACCCCTGCTTTTTTCTGGGTTCCTGTCACATGGAGTGTTGTTTCCATCCTTTAACTTTCAGTCTATGATAAAATTTTAAATTAAGTGTGTTTTTGCAGGCATCATATTGTTGGATCTTGCTTTTTGATTTATTCTGGCAGTCTGCTTCTTTTGACTACTGAATTGAGACCATTAATGCTGATGATGATAACTGACATGCACTGACTTATCCTTGCTGTAGTGTTTTCCTATTGTTGACTTCTCCCTTCCTCCTTGTTTAATTATTTGCCTTGTCTGGTGGATTCTTTTGCTGGGGTTCATGGCACTGTAGTTCTTGTTATCTCTTCCTAGAATGTCCTTCAAAACATTTTGTAGTACTGGTTTGGTAGTAATAAATTTTCAGTGGATTAATTAATTTACCAGAGAAAACTAAAAGATCGCCCAAAATTCAGGTTAATGCAATGGTTCCTCTGGATTCTTTTAGCAGATTTATAATGATACTAAGGGGCAAAAGGTAGAACTGGAAAAAAGTGAAAGACTCAAGTTTCGCTCCAGAAAGAATCACATGTGAAGTTGGGACCCAAAGAGGTGTAGCTGCTGGAGAGATTAGCACCACTAAAAAAAAAAAAAGTATTTTTTGCAGGGACAAAAAGACGTCTTGAGGGCATTTTAGAAATCATCAAGACACCACTATTTAAATACAGGCTCAGGGGTACAAAAGTTTAAACTTTTCATTTGAGAAAATAGTCCCTGTGGCCAATGCTCAAAAAAGGCCTCCTAAAAAATTTAGCTTCACCATCCAAATACTCAGAGCCTGCTGCAGCTAAGATGCAAAGTCTTGGCTCCTGCTCAAGCCAGTAGCTGATCCTGGCATTATCCATGATGCTAATCTTATCAGCATGCAGAATATAAGAACTGTGGGATCACAGAGGCTTCCACCAGTATTTCATAGGAAGTCCTGAAAAGCTAAGGAGGGCCATGAGTGAAGCCATGGGAATGAAGTTGAAGGCTCAGTGGAGACCCCAGGAAGTCAGAGATGAAAGGATGTGGAACACTGGCCAAGGAAAGCTGTAGGCTGTGAGTGGACACAGTCGAAGAGAGGCCAGGAGGGCTACAGCCAGCAAGATCATATAGATAGGCCTGTGGATATTAAGCCTTATCATTATGTGCCTCAGAGGCCAGACACAGAGCTCCAGGACTTAATGTTTGTTCTTCTGAGCCTTTAGCCTTGTCTTGGTCCTTCTTTTCTATCCTCTTTCCCTCCTTTCTAGAATGAGAATGTTTGTCTTGTGTCACTGTACTTTGGGATTACGTACGGTGGTACCGTGGCCCACAAGCTTAGTTCATTCCATGGTTCTGGGAAAGATGGATGTGTCTGGATTTGTGTGGGGAGCATGGCCACGATCAGGTTCGTCACCTGATGCAGGGCTCGCAACACGTTCCTATTTGTGAACTAAACCGTTCATGAACAGATGCACTGTGAACTGAGGTATTATTTAAACTTGTTATTTTTATGGATATTAACAGCTGTCAGTTTTCCTTGAGTCTCAAAAGAGACTTTCCCTATTGAGTTTTGAAAAATACTGGAATTTCTAGGACTTTGGGCAGGGAGTATTGTGTTTATAGTTATATGCAACAAGCCTGTATTATGTTAATTATGTCACCATCATGGCATTATAAACTGGGAAATATCTTTATTGGGACATTCAGAATAGTTTAAACAGATTTGTTTGGGTTTCAAGGTGACAAGGAGTGGGCTGTGTCCATGTGTACTGGCTTTGGGCTCTGTCCCACGGATTGGTGAAACACGTCTGGGTGTTTTGGAGTGGGTGAGGGAGGTGTGACATTGGGGCCTGTGTCTTGTCCTTTCCAGAGCTGGCACTGTTGCCCTGCCCTGTCTGCCAGCCACCATGTGGCTCAGCTGCACCACATCCTTCACCATACTGTTCTTGCCTTGAAACCAGCTGACCCTGAACTCTGAAACTGTAAAACAAATTAAACCTCTCCTCCTTTAACCACTAACACTCCAACTATTTAAATACAGGATGATCACAACTTGCATATTTTCATTATTTTTTGTAAGACACCATAACAGAAAATATTAAAATGACAATTTTATCAAATTTATTCAGCTGAGCATAGTGGAACACGTTTGTAATCCCAGCATGCAGGAAGCTTAGGCAGGAGGATCACTGTAAGATCGAGGCCAACCTAGGCTACATAAGCAAGTTTGAGGCCAGCCTGTAGTACAACCAGCCTGTCTTTAAAAAAAAGAAACAAAACAGATTGTTCAACAATTTCTTTTTTGTAGGATATATCTTAAAACATGCAATACATAATACATTACAATCTGGACAGCCCCAATTCAAATCAGAAAAAAGAACTCACTGGCCTTAACTGACACATCACCTCGATTATATGTATCATAATAAAGGACTGCTAAAGCAATGAAGTGGATCAAGAGATAGAACTCTATACTCAGAAAAGCAAGCAAACCAGTATCTTGTATAAACAGAGCAGGCAGCATGCATTCAAGCAAGTCTGGAGGAAGGAGACAGGCCTGGAACTGCATCCTGAGGACCAACAGTAGGCTGGCTATCCACCTTCTCTCTCTTCCGACTCCCCTCTACCCTTCCTCCACACTGCCTTG